AATAATAATAATAATAATAATAATAATAATAATAATAATAATAATAATAATAATAATAATGGTAATAATAATAATAATAATACTTTTTGCCTAAATTTTAATGCATTGTAAATGATTTCATGATGTTTATTATGGTCTTGTTGTTTTCGAAATATTTCAATTACATTAAGGAAAATTTTTTAAAAAAGAAAATCTCTATTAACAATTCAAATTTAGTTCCTGTTTTTATTTTATTTAAAAAATTTTTCATTTTTATTGAAATAATTTTGGGGGAAAAAATAAAAATTAAAATTAAATTAGGATTAAATAGAATCAGATTTTTTTCAATCAAATTGAATTGCAATTTAAGAAATGACTCGATTTTTCTACTTAAATTAAATTAAGACCATGTAGCAAGTAATTAGGAAGTAATTAGATTTGAAGTAATATATATTTTTAATTTTATCAAATTTGACAATAATGATAATCGGATTGATACCATTGATAAACCAAATCTGATAAATGAAGCCAGGTAAAGATCAACTTTGTTTTGCTAATTTCTTTTCCACAATTTTTCTCAAAACAATTAGGAATTGATTAAAATTCAGTTAAAGTATTCTAATTTATCTAACTAATTGAATGAGTTCATTTGGTTGTCATGGCATTTTTGATTCTGATGCTTAGAACGATAGAAGGGCTATTTTGCATTCGCATATATATTTACATTAGCTTCATCATTTATGGCAATGGTATGATATTTAATTTTTACATGTTTATTTATTTTAATTACTTGAAATTTAACAAAATTTGATTTTATATTTTAAAATTTTAATTATAACATTATCAAATAAATTTGAATTGAATTTGATTGAGTTAAAAATTTTTTTCGCTTCATTTTCACAAATTGTTATTTGTTCAACTGCTATGCTAACAGTTATAGTATTGGTATCAGTAATACTGGAAGATTTATTATCAGTTATTTACCAATCAAAAAATGTTTTTATCTTTTTTATCTCTTTTTTTTTTGTTAATCATTTAAGAAGAGTTTAAGTTATCTATTTTGTAACTTGTTAATTAGCACTTTTTTTTTGCATAATTTAACTTTTAATTGTAGTTCGAAACTAACCTATTACCTCCCACACATTATTATTATTATTATTATCATTATTATTATATCGAAACTAACCTATTACCTCCCACACATTATTATTATTATTATTATCATTATTATTATTATTATTATTATTATT